TACATACATACGTATTACACATAGATTTTTCATTATTTAAGCATGGAGGTTGGCGCCAGTGTCGAAAATATAATTCTTTAATATTTTGGCTTAAAAATTTTGTCTTTTTAATTGAAAGACAAGGCATAGTAACGTAGGAGTTAAAATTATTCACGGTGGTTTATACCTTTGGGGTATATATTTCATGGGCATATTTTTTTATTACGGCAAGACAAACAAGAACTGTCTGCTTAAGAAAATGCTGCCTTTGTGGAGGACTTTCAAGGGTTACTTTACACACAGGAAAACCACAAAATATTTTCGGGTCATATATGTCTGACTAGATTCATAATAACTATCCCAGCGAGCCATGAATTTTCCGGGCATGTATAACCTAACTATCTATAATTCTGGTTAATTGGAAGATTTTAGCTGCTGAAAATAGAAATTTGCATTTCTTTAATTCGCGATTGCGCTGAGCAGAAAAGGCGAACTATATAATTGTGCGGATGGTTCCTCTCGACAGAGACGAAGAACGTATAGTCTGTTTTCTAGATTCCGATAGTGCTGAAGTCTGACCTCTGGGCCTGTCTGATGTTGTTTGCCAATGGATGTGATTCTCTCAAGTGTGGTGCAGAAACGTGAGGCAAGGAGTCATAATAAGGAACAGCATAGTGGAGATAAAAATCTACATAAGCATTCTGGATTATTCTACATCGCCATGTACCTGTCTAAATGAGTGGACTGTTAAGCAGGATCAAGTCATATTGTACCATTCTAGTACATACGCACGTTATCCATCGTATAATTTCATTAAGGTGTCATAGTCTGACACGTATATTCATCTACGTTGTTAAATCTTAAGGATAGAAAGTCACTGATTCAATTTTATGTTAACATTTCAACTTAGTGCAGTTTATACTTCTGTGGCAGAGAGCCTCGGTTTTACACCCGCCACTACCACTCAAGGTTCTTCAAAGGACACAAATCTTCAAATACAGTATTAGGCAATGAGAAAGTCAAGAGAAATTTTAGTCAAAGTATTCAACAAACCATCCAATTGACTTTTTATCAGCATTTATTTTCAAATTTTGAGCAAAAGATTTGCGCTGTAAACTTTAAAAAAGAGGATTAAATGAACTGCGTCAGTCTGATACATAAAAGGGAATTTTTATATATCTTTAAACAATGAATCCATAATTTTCGAGTCCATAATTTTCAATATTATTTGCATCTTTCTATTTTATTTTGTCTGCTGTATCAAGCTGTATGACAAATAGTTTCATTCCAACTTAATAACTTGCCGATAAATGTTTTCAAACCTGCCAACTTGATGATAAATAACAAAAATAAGTATTTCGCGAAGTTTCTACTTTTTTCTCATTTTCATGTCTGTTTGGTCTTTAAAAAAATGAATTTTTAAATTATTCAACTATAGAAAATTAACTTTATACTATACAAATTTTTCTTCTAATGCCTGGAAAATATTGATAGTAACGGCACTAGTGTTCTACAGTCATTTTTAAGTAAATTTCTTTAAAATTGGCTTCTGACCGTTATTTTGTTTACTAATTTTTTGGGTGGTACAAAAAGCTTGAAAGAAAAAACATGGAAGGTAACGTTAACTAATTGGAAGAGAAACAAGACAATGTAAATTTAATATTAAGAGGAAAAAAAAAAAAAGACGAAGTCTTAAATTGGATTAGATGAAGATTTATTGTTTTCGAGATCGATCAGACTCAAGTCGCTCTTTTTCATGAGCAAAAACTTTTTTTCTGAAGAAAAATTCTCGAATTGACTTAGTTTTCAAAATGTGCGCCAATTTAAAATTCCTTTTTTTTCTAATTTTAATGCTAATCTATTTAAAATTCAGGGAATTGTTCGCGTATGAAAACTGAATTGATTAGCAGATCAAAGAAATATATTTATTATTACATACTGCTTCGTGTGCCGAGAATTTTTTAAGATAAATGGGGCTATGCGCAGAGAATGTTTGATTTGCTTTGATTAGTGAAAATAAATACAATGGCCTGTAAAGGCAGAAGCACGAATTGCTCTTCTTAAATAATTATTGGTTGTGTATGTGAAACAAGCTTCACACATGGCTCACTTATTCATGGATACTGCGGATTACTATTATTAGCATAAAAGAATTGAAAAGATTATTAGCCGAGAAGATTTGAAAAGAATCTAAACATCGTGGAAATGAAATGAGTTCTCCATTATATATACACTAAATTAAATTCATTTATTCCATGTCTTTGTATATTTTTTGCATCTGAATGCAGTGAGTGTTATGAGAATGAAGAGTGTTAGATTGAAAGCAAGTGCTTGAATGCAGGGTTTATTGGTACCGAGTTCTAAGTCGGCGTGACATATATTTCAGGCTTTAATTCCAGCTGGATTCCGCCTTCGGTGCTTCTCAGTTTTTGAATTAGAGTTTAAATTGCGTCGGAGCCCGGCTCCGGTACTTCTTAGTTTTGGGAATAAATAATTCTAGGCAGAGCCCACCGGAGCCCTAAATAAGAAGGCTTCGGCACTTCTTTTATGTAACTGAACAACAATTTCAGTAGAAATTAGATCTTGGAAAAAATTTTTTTTCAATAAAAATTATAATAAAAATATCCTTATATTTTAGTTTATCTCTTTAAATTTTATTTAATTACCTTAACCTTTAATTATTTAAATAAATAATTATTAATTTTTATTTAATTAAATAATTATTAGTAATTAAATAATAATTGATAGATATTAATTAAATAATTCTTGATTAATTTGATAATAATCAACTATTTAATTTTAAAATTATTAATGATTTTAATAGTCATTTTATTTATTTATTTATTTTCGTTCCTCTTTGTTGACAGTCCTCCATAGGACTCCCGCACTTCTAATTTTAGAAATTAAGCTCTGAGTGAAGCCTTAATTCTAGCCACAGCGCACGATAATTCCAAATTAGAAGAAGTCCTATACTTTCTGTGTAACTGAACAGTAATAACAGCAGACAATTTTGCTATTATTGCAACATTTTATTTAGAAATTAATACTGATACTAAATATTTTTCACCAGGGGAGCTGATCCTTTGAGATAATAGCACATCAGCTATTTAAGCCCTACTGGTACATCTTTCTACTTTTCAATGGTCTGAGTGTATGTCTTTCGAGACTGTTAGAGAGGAGCTCCAAAGATCAAGGGCATCTAAGTCGAAAAGCAATCGGGAAATCACGTGAAGTCATGCTAATGTTAAGTGCTTAAGGAATTCTGTTACTGTCTAATGAGTGTTCCCATGCTGTGCACATTAAGAGAAGTCCGTTAGCTGATTTATGTCTCACTTTCCCTGATAAATGCATGATGAGACCTTCCTCGAATATTTGAAAAATATATATGAAAATATCCAGACTTGCTACGAAAAGAGTGATGCAGAGATCATCGAAGTTATCAGAGAAAACAAAAGAATTAGTAAAAATAAAAGTGAATCCGAAGATGAAAATTCCGATCCTGTACCAACATCAGCAGTCAGGACAAGCATTAAAAATGTTAAAAAGAACACTCGAACCTAAAGGTGGAGATACAGAAAGCTACAAGGTCTTATTTTCGAGACCACTGTTGAAAAGCTACTAACAAGAAATATGCAACAAACTCAAATGGATACATTTTTAAATAATGATTGATATGTTTAGATATTGTACTGATCTGTGCAACATGTTGAAGTAAATATAAATTTTCTAAATTAAGAGAGCTTTTGTCATCCACGGGAAAAAATAATGATTTAAAAGTTATATATGCATTAACTCAATAATTTATACTTTTATTTTATTTTGAATACTATCCTTAATTGATACAATTTATAATACATCTTACTCATATGATGCATAAAATGGCTATTAGGTAAGTTTTTGTAAATAACTGCAACATTATTGTGATTACCAAAATGTTTCTGCCATATATTACATATCTCAATATAGAATAATCATTTGCGTACATCTAATTTCAAGTTATTTTATTTTACTTTATTAAAAGCTTATATTAAAGTAATATAACAAACAAAACACATCTATGAAGCTAACTTATGTATTATTCCGTTACTATGTATATATTTCACTTTCCATTGTTGCAAAGTACTTTGAATGATTATGCTAGAATATTGTAAAATGCCAGTTTAGCCTTACACTTTTAAAATAAAATTTCTATTTTTGGGGCTAAATGTTAGGACTCTAATGTGTCGCAAATAATCTGATGGTACGCATTACCTTAAGCTAATGCAAATATAATTCATCCATATTCTTCATTCCTTAAAACTAAAAAAAAAACTTTCTTAATTAATATAATTATAATACAATCAGACCGATCCTTAGGCACAGAAATTTACAGTTCTAAGTAAACTACAGCTCATACTATTATTAGCAGATCACATGCTCAAACACATTAGTTATGAGTATGTCATGGGAATTATGTCTGAGTTTACAACCAAAGATTCAGATGAAAATCAATGTCTTTCTATTTTAATATATTTTTTTATTCTTTTACTGGAACTTTATTTTGAGTTTACAAAATGTACTTTTTCACATATTTTAATACAACATATGTATATTTCTTATCAAATGAAAATGAAATAGATATTACAAAAGGTTTTTACTTAGCTTTTAATAACATTTTAAAAGTATGGAACACTACATGGATGATGAGAATAAATAATTTTTTTTTAAATGAGTATCTGCAATAAATAAAAATAATAATTGTCACACTGAAGAATAGAATGGAACAACATGAAATGCAGAAAACACTGAGAATACAGAAAATACTAAGAATAATTTATTACTCTGAGAGTTTACGTTTCACCTGCCATTTTAAAATGATATACTGAGAAAAATTTACAGGCACAATATAGAATATGGAAAAAAAAAAAAAAAATCAATGAAAAACTTTAATTTTGTTGTAAGATAATTTAACACCATACAGATATCCTTTCATAATAGTGAAACAGTCAACTCAAATAATAAATGACAAAATGTCAAGTTTGTATGCCAATAACAGGGACACTGCATAAAAATTTTTAATAACACCACACAGACATTTAAATGATACTATAGAGAACATGAGCAGTTCATATGCTTACATAATGTTGAAAATCTGCAGATCCTCCCCCCCCCCCGAAAAAAAAACGTTCTGAAATTGCTCTGAAACTTTTCCTGAGCCACAAGAGAGTAACTGTTCTTAATCAAATGGTAAAAATGATCTCAGGTATCTTGCTTCTCCAATTATCCTTATTTTCAGAATGCCTAAGTAAAATAAATAAATAAATTACATATATAAAAATAATCATTTAAAATAAATAACATATAATTCCCATTAGTCTATATGCATGGTTAATGACTAATGCTTGAAATTATGCAGAAAAATTCAATGCTATGCAATGCACTCAAAGATCTATTCCTTAAGCTATTTTTGATGACAATAACCGATAATTCTATCCCAAGATACATGGTATATAAATCAGAAATTTCTTCAGAAATTTCTATTATAAATGCGTGTAAAATAACTAAAATTTCTTATTCAGTTTTCTACACAAAACTGAGTTACATAAAGTCTTTCAGCTTAATTACTAAGAGTTAAGTTCTATTACCTAAGTAGTCCATGGCACTAGATCAGATGAATGTACCTAATTAAAAAAGCAAATTATCTCAAAAAAAAAAATTCTTTATAGCAGAATATCAGAAGACAAAATTTATCTCTCTAATAATTCTGGCATTATTATTTAGCTATTTGTTACAATTATATATATTACTAATGTACATCTGATGTATGTATGTGCAAGGTATTTTATGAGTGCAGCTTTTAAACATAAAATAAATTTAGTTTAATAATTTAAAATCAGAGTGAAAATTACTGCTTTATTGCTACATGATATCTAGAAATGATGAAACATTTCAAAATATTGGCATTCATGAGATAATAATAAGGACAACAGCAAAAATATGGACATCATTTCAGAAGACATTTATTTGGCTCAACTGTACATCATAAAGAACTTTTTCAATTAATTAGTAAAGTTCAGAAAATGTTAATGCATGCAAAACTAATTTAGAAGATTTATCACTTTCAGCTTCTTCTTTTTCTTACTAATCCCTCTGATATGAACCAGATCAGATCCATAAATTCATTTGCCTTTATAACTTCCAACACAAAATTAGGTCCCTTCAGCAGATTTTCACATACCAAGGCAACACAACTACATAGATGTTACGCAGTAGCTTCATGGGTTTTACATTTGGCGCAAATGGGAAACATTTTAGTACCACAGGAATATCTGAGGATCCTCAAACGTCCTGAAATCAACCGAGCCAGAGCCGTTTGGTCTTTCCAGATCATCCTTGAAACCAATAGCAGTACCAGGACCTGTACTACAATACCACGAGTGTGTCAGTAGCTGTCTCCAATTGTTAATTAAAGCCTTTGTTCTTGAGTACAGTTCAAGGTAGATCAAAGGTTGAACACAAACCTGAGGCATGGAAGTATCCTAGCTAGTCTATCAGTTATATAACCACATTTCAGGTTTGCTGAGATGGTACCCATTGTAGATGGAGGACAGAAGAAAGGAATAAAGTCTTGAGTTTTTCAATAACTTTAATTCCTCTCAGGTCTCTAATACATCTATAGTTATTTAAGCACTGAATTACACTTTGGCTATCCATAAAGATCCATGTTTCTCTAGATAAACGTCTCTATAAAACATGATCCGGACCTCAAAGCTACAAAGTTTCTGCGCATGCGCATAGGCGTTTACGCATGCACGTAAGACCTTTACGGCTGCGCATATGCATGTGCGCATGCGCATAATAAGTTTGCGCATGCGCGTTTAATGTATAACGGACGGTATAAGCTAAAATTATCTAATTATCTATTTCAGCTAAAGTGGCAGATTGCGTTGTTCCTTAATCTTCGAATTGGATCTGGTTTATTATTATTATTATTATTATTATTTTTGCAGAATGTTAGAGCAATTTTATAAAAGTAAGCTTGAACTTTCAATTATGTCAAAAAGAATTTCCGATTCTGGAGCTGCCAAAGCAAAAGCATGTTTCGATGTCCATCAAACAAAAAGTGGAATTGCTGCAAAAAATGGATAAAGTCATATTCTTTATTTCTCTAACCATTCTGAAATCTGTTTATCAAATTCACGCTGTTCTGCGGCGGGAGTGGGGTGTAGAAACGCCGCGGCGCGCAATGAATTGGAAATTGATCTGTCAGCACTATCCTTATCTTCAGGGCAGATGTTTTTATTTTATTTGGCTTATAATTCCTTACTAAATGTAGTATTTCATCTTGATGTACTCCGTCTTCGATATGATTTAAATATCAAATTCCTCGGCATTATAATTCGCTTCTGATAGTGAACAAAGTGACACAGAAGTTATTGAAAATGAAAAAATTTCGATTGACAAATTAGTCGGTATTCTCGACACAACAATTATAGGACATGAACAGCGGAACTTTGAAACTGAACAAGAAATTATGTCTGTCTATAGAATTAAAGAGAAAGTATTATCACATAAAATGAAGCAACTTAAAAAACTTACATTGAAAGAAATGTTTAATAAAGTAAACAAATAAATATTAAGCTTTTTTTTTTTTTTTTTTTTTGTAAATTTTGATACCCTTTAGATCATAATTGTTCTTTATTTCATAAATTACGGCTTCATATTTTTAATTTTATAATTTCTGCATGCCATCTTACCAGATTTAAAGTGATGATCTACAATCCGGAAAAATCGATAATCCGGAATCGCCAAAGTCCCGACGAGTCCGGATTAACGACTTTTGACAGTATAATCTTCATTATCAGCACATTAATTTATTGGGAAGTGGAGGTCATTTTTACATCATTTTTACAGACATAGATTTTTACAAGTGTGATATAAATGATCTTGCCACAAGCTAGTAACAATGCTTAATGCTTCTAGAAGTAACTTTGATTACACAGGTATTCTTCCTATTCTCTTCTTTTCAATCTTCCTTAAATGTTGGCCATTTCATTTGCAACAACTCAATAGACTCTGAGCATTGATTTTCGATAATAAAAGCCAGCTCATACCTATACAACTATAAAGGTAAAGAAAATATACTTCATTTTTCTTACTTTTTTCATTTGAATCAATTTACAAAATTTCTCTCAAAAATATGGAATACTTTATTATTATTTAGTTCTTTTTTTATTTACAAATCTGCAATCTATCTTACAAATACCAACTGTAATATTTGAAGAATAAAGAGTTCAATTTCACTGGCGCTCCAACTAGTTTTGAAGTAAAATTACTGATAACTAGTTTTGAAGCAAAATTACTGGTAATGTTGCCAATTTTAAAAGATGACAACATGGCAATTCTTTTAATTTTTTCAGCAAAATCTTCCCATGAAAAATGATATTAATAAATTAATTCTTTACATAGAAAATTACTAAACTAGATCAAGGAGCCCACCAGCAGCCAAGTGGTCAGGCTCCTGACGAATGAATTTCGAATCCCAGCAAACGGGCTGGCTGTATGGATGTTTTCGTGGTTTTCCCTCTATGTAAACATGTATACAAGCCAGTTTTCATTGCAAAGTGCTCCACAAAGGCATCCCTCCCATCAGGCAGATAGCCTTCATGTGCTTTGCCATGATCAAATAAACCAAAACTAGCTCAAGCTCCAAGTCTCATTAGAGTTTGAGTTCTGGCAGTTATCAAAAAAAAAAAATTGTGACACACCATTTCAAAATTCATAATTACTTTCACATTTCACAATTACATTAAGATGGAAAACTTTTAATAACAAATGTCTATATAAACTATTAAAAATATAGTTTTATCTAAATGTAATTTTTCAAATTAATATCTCTTACTAATCTACATATCATTAATACAAGTGTTACTAATTATACTTATTGATATCATTATTACTAATTACTATAATAGTGTATATATTATCAGTGCATACATTAAATTAAATGCAGTTTTATAGTTGCTTAAAAGAAACACATAAAAAGATTGCAGGAACAAAATGTTAGCAAAATAATAATTTTTATCTTAAGGAACAACTTTATGATTAAAAATGTTTAATACTTTTATGACATTATACTAAAGTTTGAAGTTGTTTTAATATAAAACAACAAAAACAGTCATTCAATAGTTTTGAAGACTACATAAAACTTTTTATCTTCCATACAGTATTTTTACTGAAAATATAAAAAGTCTAAAAAGCTTTACATCTTTCAAAAATAAATTGTGACATTCATTTTGTAAAAGAAACTGGGCACTTACACACCATCATATTGACCATGAACGCTGACAGACATTCTAGCAAACTTAAGCCAGTTATTCCAGCAGAAATATAAAGAAAGAAAACATTATTTAATTAAATTATCAACAAGTACAAGTTATAGATATAACCCATATTATTTAAATAAATATGAGCTCAAACTAACACCAATCAAGTTGCTTAGCACTTTTCAAAGGGGTCCCCTGTGTGTCCATTAGCATGCCTTTCTGTAACTTTGGGCTACCAGTGGCTGAGCAGTTAAACTACTAAACGCTGATAGTTTGATCCAGGTTCAAATCCAGTCAAAGGGCTAGCTGCATGGCAAATTTTGCAGTTTTTCCCTTGTGTAACATGGAAATGAACTAATGCCCAGTCTTTCACAAAGGCATCCTTCCTCGGATATAGATAGCTCTTGTGTGCTTCACTACAATATAAATAAACCAAAATCCCACACTTTGAAAATACTCCATTGCATGCTGTTCCATGAAATGCAGGTCCCAAATTTTAATCATTTCAATTAAATGTAAGAGGAAACAAAGAAATGACATTTAACTTATATCCTTCTTTACACAAACTAAATTGGTTTATGAAGGATTATCTGGGTTTCATAAAATCAGTGTGAAGATCTTATTTGTGATGCAACATTTATCTGTTGCTGATACTAAATAATACTGTTTAGCAACAACTTTTATTCACAAAAATGATTGATGGGAAAGTATATGAGTACCAGAAACTTATTATCATTCAGCTTTCTAAGAGCATGCACTAAAAAAAAAATTACTAAAAGTATTTTTATTTACTGCTTCTGGAGTTTCGCTTTCCTAATATTTTCATTTCATAATTTTATTAAGGAATTTATTAAGAGAAAAGCAAATATAACAATATCTTATCTGTGAAACTGCAGATAATAGTTAATGGCATATAAAACACAATGTGAATGTATTACACATAGCTATACTTATAGTTTATAGAAAAACTATGCATGTAACACTTTATAAACATTAAGTAAGGTAAATAAAGTATTCTATAACACTATAATACATTATATCAGGGGTAGCTATTTCTTTTTACAAAAAGTTATCAGATATTCCTTTCAATTTGAAACCTGTTTCACTACTTTCAAAATTATGTAAATATGGACTTATAGTTTTGGAAAATTTAGTTACAGCTCCTAAACTTTCCTGAATTACAACATGCAGCTCTTATTGACATCAAGTTTTGTCACCCGTTATATACTGCAATATTAAATAATGTAAAATGTATTTTACACTAAAAAGTTACTCTCTCTCTCTCTCTTATACCTGTGAAAACAGGAAAATCTGACATTTTAGCTTAATCTGCAAAAGACAAGTAAGAAACGAAAAAATTAAGTTTTGTATTAAACAGCATAATACAGTACAAAGTCCGAAATCCGGACTCATTGGGACTTCGGTGATTCCAAATTTGGGATTTTTCCGGATATTAGATCATCATTTTAAATCTAGCAAGATGGCAAGTAGAAATTATAAAATTAAAAATATGAAATCATGATTTATGAAATAATGAAGTATTTAGAAATAATGAAGTAACCTTTAAAATTAGCAGCTATCATCATCAAATTCAGCTATCTTTCACTATACATATTTGGCTATGCATCATGAGCTTGACGAATAAGTTGTTCCAATAAATTTTATATTGCTTCTATCGTGCACTGACACAATTAAGCCTGAATTGTATTAGTTATTGATTATACTTATGTCTATTTCTTGCACATGCTTAAAGCTTATCGGAGTTCTGAATAAATAAATTCCCTCATATGCTTGAGCCTTATTGAGGGCCGACACTAGATATCTTACTGCCTGAAAGAAAGGTTCTATAGATGTAATGTAAACTAGTTTGCCATTATGCCGCTGAAAAGTGGAGGGAAAATTTGCCAAGGGATTTGGCGATGGAACCTGGCGGCAAGAATTTCCCCCTTCTCGATGTGCACAGGAAATTGAGGAACACGTGTTAAAGAAAAACGTTCTTCTTCGACTTTTTGCGATAATTTAAACTCAGATTTTCACCCAAAATAACTAATCCATTAATTAATTTTATTGCGTGAAAAAATATTTTCTTTCAAAACGATACTTGTTTTAGAAACTCTTGATGAATATGACCTTCGAACTTCGATGCAGACTTCGAGCTCTGGTGACAGATATTTGGTGCATATGCAACTGTTTACATTTGGATGGAGCCACTCCTGTTGCAGAGAAGTTTTCCTCCTTAACAATACATATTCTTTGGCCTGATGCAGTTTCTGTGGGTCCTAAAATTCTGCGACACGGTGTGGCCATATGAGCCCTGGCACTGGTTCTGGTTTTATGTGAATAACTAATAATAAAAAATCAGTTATTCTTAATTCAAATGACCCTAAAAGTAATCTTTGGGTCTATGAGTATCATCACCAAAATACATTTTTAGCATATGGAAAGAAATCTTTTGTAAATTTTTTCCCATCAACATTTTTTAGCGCATTTAACTTAAATCTTTACAAATTTATGCTAAAATGATCGTTTCTTCAATAACAAGGTATTTTATTTAGTCAAAGTGAAATTAAGATGTTTTATTATGCATGGAAGGAAGAATCAAATGTGCACGCATAAAACCTGTGAGAAACACGTAGTTGGTGTTTTTGAGGTCTGGATTTTAGATCATTCCAGATAATGGACGTGTGGATTTTGGACTTTGCACTATATACTGTTTCAGAGACTGGTATAAATAAAAATTATTTATTTTTCCAGCACTAATAGTACATAAGTAAAACTTTTGTAATGTTATTACTTTTACATTTTTGGGATCTTTGAGTAAATAAGAATTTTAAAAGCACGACAACTGTAATAACATGTTATCTATGAGAGCAAAATAATGCTAGAAAGAAGAAATGAACCCAATTTTGAAATAAGATAAGCTAAAAACAGATTAAATACTCTCTGAACATTGACAGCCAAAATTCCTTACCAACATATTTATGATCATCAAACTGAATTGTGATTCAGATTTTGAGAAATTTTCTGTAATCTTAAAATATATAACAGGATTCCACAAGCACCATTTTTCTCATTCTCCATATTTAGTTACATTTGACCAAAATAAAAATGCATATGCATGGAAAGACAGTATACAGCAGTGATGGCAAACCTATGGCAAGCGTGTCACAGTCGGCACGCAGAGCCTCATCAGCTGGCACGCAACTAAAATATTACTTTCTTAATCAATAATCACAATAAAAAGATATTATGTAATTTAAATAAGTGTTTTAGTTTGTTCTTGAACGTTTCACTTACTTATGGCAAAATGCCACTGACATAGGGCCTAAGCCTAGATATAAGATTTTCATATAGCGCCACAGAAATGATATACATATTTATTGACCCAATTTATGATGTTTCAATTGTTTGGGCCAATCATATTACTTGTTACATGGCAAAGTGGGGAAAGTGTTGTGTGTCACACATCTAGTGTCAGATGTGTAAGCACCACCAAATGATTGTTGTCGAATTCGATGAAGCTGAGCGGAAGGTGTTTTTTGAAGGGAAAATGAGGAATTATAATTGCCACAAAGTTGGTTTTTTGCAATTATCTTTCTAAAACAAACCATCTAACAAACGGCCAGCTTTCAAATTTCACTGTGCCTGGCAAAACATGGTAAATCGCACTCCGATGGGGATTTAATCAAAGAGGTTTTGGGCACGCGACTCCAAAAATGTTCACCACCACTGGTATAGGGTGAACTTGAATTACTGCATTTAGGTTATATTATATACTCTTGTCGCTTAGCTAGCATTTATAAAATAACAACTTACGAAAGTAACATCACTTTATTCCCCCCTCAGCACTCTGAACCATGGAAAAAAGAAACCAGAGATATTAAATCAGTAGATAGAGAGAAGTAACTGTACTGCATTATATGCAATAGTATAACTACGGTAATTTTTTTTTTTTTTAAATATTTATCATGAACTTAATGTAACATTTAGCAAAATCTTAACTAGTCAAAAGCAAAATAATATAAAATCAAAAATATTTTCTATTGGTTAGAAAAGAAACTTAAAATACTTAACTGTTTAGAGATAAATTTAATTGTAATTTTTTTAATAATTTGTATTAATTTTTATTAAGAATTATTTTTATATAACTTGCAGTTTATATATATATGTAAAAGCCAAAACAGAAAATAACTTTTGTAAGTATTTCAATTAAATAAGTTTTAGAACTTTTTAACTTGTCAGATCAAAACTCTTTAAATTTCATATTTTGAATTTTTATCCAATAAATTTATCAAATATATGCAATAATTAAAAAATATTTACAGTTCAGAATTAAAAAATCATAAATAACCAAAGATAAATGTAATATATAATTACATTAAAATTCATTTTAAAAATTTATAAAACACAATTCAAAGATAAACATTTTACTTTTGCTTACATTTACTTCCACAGGTTCCTTATTCAACCGGATGCTTGATGCATTATTTGTTTCTGAAAAAGAAAAATAATGAACTATTTAAGATAAGCTTATACAGTACAAAGTCTTTAATCCGGATTCGTCGGGACTTCGGCGATTCCGGATTAGGGGTTCTTCCGGATTATAGATCATCAATTTAAATCTGGTAAGATGGCATGCAGAAATTATAAAATTAAAAATATGAAACCATAATTTATGAAATAAAGAATAATTATGACCTAAAGGTTATCAAAATTTACAAAAAAAAAAAGCTTAATATTTATTTGTTTACTTTATTAAACATTTCTTTCAATGTAAGTTGTTTAAGTTGCTTCGTTTTTTGTGCTAATACTTTCTGTTTAATTTTGTAAACAGACATCATTTCTTGTTCAGTCCACTGTTCAAGTCCTGTAATTGCTGTGTTGAGAATACCGACTAACTTGTCAATCAAAATTTTTTCATTTTCAATAACCTCTCTGTCACTTCTTCACTATCGGAAACGGTACATCGGAACATGCTTTCGCTTTGTAGATCCTTTGGCAGCTCCAGAATTGGAAACTCTTTGTGACATAATCGAAAATTTAAGCTTCCTTTTTATAAAACTGCTCTAACAGTCTGCAAAAAATAATAAGCCGGATCCAATTAGAAGATTAAGGAACAACGCAATCTGCAACATTAACTGAAATATATAATTAGATAATTTTAGCCTAGCTTATACCGTCGGTTATACATTAAACGTGCATCCGTAAACGTATTATGTGCATGCATAAAGGTATTATGCACATGCGCAGAAAGTTTGTAGCTTTTGAGGTCCGGATTATAGATCATTCTGGATTATGGATGTCCGGATTAAAGACTATGTACTGTATATAATTATATTAAGCAATATGGTAAATAATGTATTAAATTATTGCTATAGGATCACTAAGGTAAATGTATTTCACTATAAGAAGCATTAAAGAATGAGACAATTGCTACATGGCTTGTGTTACATACGTATACAACATACATACATACACACAATACATAATGTTACGCATTTTTAGTAGAATTATAATTGAAATTGTTTTATATCCCGTGTAATGCAGCGCGAGACATATTTTAAGAAAAAGCTATACCAGAAAAGTAAAAATACAGGAGCATGTGCATTTAACATTTAATAAATAGATATCTCGCAATTTATATTAAACTGAATAAATGTGAGTACTGTGTAAGCTATAATCATAATTCTACTCTTTTGCTTTCTAGAAATTACGAGAACTTTCTTGCGAGTGATTAAAAAGCTGGAGAGAAATATTTCAGTTCAGTTGTTTACTTAGTATTTGTTAATTGTAGCGAATTCATGGTGAGATCAGATTATCTTTCTCTGTGCTTTGGATTGTGTTCTACTTAATGTTTTAGTATTTTAAAATATAACTACAGTGTGATATTGTACAAATATCTTTGAAGAAAAATTCAGTACTTTGCTAAATTTCTTATGATAAGAATAAATTTTATTAACTTTTTATTGGACTTGTGCATTCAATCTATTTTGAACCTGAAACCACGTTAATTATATATATAAAGGTTTGGGGAAAATGTATCCTCCAAATTCAATATAAACTAAGTACAGAAATATTATATTCCAATTAATTTTTGATTTGCATTGAAACTTAATTGGAATATAATATTTCTTTTTGAAGTTAATATTGAATTTGGGTGGTACTTTGTAAGAGTAGCAAGCAAAGTATTAGCTAGTCAAAAAAATACATAAAGTATTCTTAAAATATAACAAAGCTAACTCATAGCAAACAAAGCTCTATTGTTTAACTAATACTTAAAATGTGAAAATAAAAAATTTAAAAAAAGAAGAAGCAATCCCTACTGAAATTGAAAACTGATCAGTTACACCTTTTTTTGTCATTACAGCAAACCAATTTTGCATGCTTGCTATACCTTGGTTATTATTCTGCAAATGCTGCTGCATTACATGGAAGAAACTGTTTTCTAGCCTCCAGAATTGTCAGCATAAGTCAAAATTAAGACATTATGAATGAATAACATCAATAATTTGATAGCTTGGTGATTTCAGGATTCTTTCTTAACATGGTTTACCTGATAAAATAAATGTCAGTTTGAATGGGGGGAGACAGAAATCAAACAAGGACAATGACAACAATAACAATATATTTTAGAATACTTATTTCCTGACATTTAAATGTTGCATATTTCACTATATGTTCACTCATTTAAATGTTTCATATCCTTTGACTGTTTAATTTTATCAGTGCTGACATACCAGCATTGATAAAAATTAAACAGTCAAAAGATGAATACACATGTCTTGGTATACATGCTAATGAATTTATAATTATGAAGAGTGGAAAGATTACATTAAACAATCAAAAGATGAATACACATGTCTTAGTATACATGCTAATGAATTTATAATTATGAAGAGTGGAAAGATTACATTAAACTTAAAATTATGCTGACAAGGAATTCTCCTGGGAAAGGAAAGGAAATTGTAACAAGCAGAAATTGTAAACTGTTTTAATTAAATTTCTATAAAAAAATATTATAAATTCAAATAGATATGCAAATGATTACATTTGGCTAATTAAATTTCCACAGAAAGAATAGTGAAAGGGTTAATGCTAATGGATATGCAAATAATTACATTTATAAGTTTTAAAAGCAAAATACACTTTGTATGAAATCTTGTGCTTGGCCTTTTAATTAATATTTAAAATAGAAAATTTTTCTTAAAAAATATTTACAATAAAATGAAAAGAATGCTAACTAATACTTTTTATTTCAGAACTTAACTTTTGGAAATGCTTAAAAATACTTTTATCAGCAAATATCGAAAAGATTATGCATTATACAACATTCTATATTATTAGTTTTAAACACATATCAAATTAAAAAAACTAAATGTAATTGCACGCACTTTGAGACCAAGGATCATGCAAATTAGTGAATTTCGTTAATTTTATATATATTTATTTATTTACTTTTTTTAAGTCCCCCCCCCAAAAAAAAAATAGCAAACACAGACTCCTTTCAATTGGTGAGGTAATGAAACATCTTTTATCTGAAGAAGGGCTTGAAGTTGACTCAAATGGAGAGGGTAATTGTGGACTTAGCAGGGGAATGAGTTACGGTACAGAACAGAAGAAAATTCATAAAGAGATGAAGCAAATATGGATTTACTTCAGTGTGCTGCAGGCCTGAATAGTGAAGTTGATGGAATAAAAGAGAATATTTCAGAAAGTGGTGAGGATGAGACTGGTAATTTTCATATTTTGTTGTTTGACTTAATATATAATCATTATTCATTGTATTAGTTTAACCTAAATTTTCACATGGCTTCGCCATCATATCATGAAAGGCGCAGAGATGGTACACATAGCAATGGTGACATTATTTTTTAGGGTAGCAGAGGCATAATGCATTCTGAGTGTACAGACCTCTCAGCCTCTTTACAACCAATGGAATTTTTCCATTTATTTGTCATTAAAGTTATGCAAATCACTGTATCAGAAACCAGCAAGTATGCAGAAAGCACAGTAATGGCTTTCATGGACAAACTTCTAGGCAAAAGACACATGATTTAATATACAGACATGCTTTAACACACACACAATTATTACACAAGCATTCCCCAAGAAAATAAGCTTCTCAAAAACAAAATCTGTGTCATGTGTAATTCCCACCAAATTTGATGAAAAAAGTTATAAGTGTGAAATACACAGACATCAAAGCCTGCAATATATATATGTAGTGATTTGCTTTTAAAAATATCATAGTTTAGATAAATTCTAACTTTCTGCAAGACTTACAATTTTATTTTTTATTTCATGTCTGTACACATGAATAAGTTTTAAACCATTACAGAGATTATTATTGATTACAACTGATTATTAATTATTTTTTAATAAAATAACCAAATTCTAAAGGAATTAAGTACTAGAGGGGAACAAAGTACTATTGCTGTGATGAATGTGTCAATATGGTGCATGATTACCTATGACAGAAATGCAAACCTCTTATCTTGACTTCATAGAGTTTACAAAACTATTAATCAAGTCTAGTGAAACTGCATTATTCAGATTCCTGGTAGATCTGGAAACACAGATGGTATACTGCAAGTCAGCTGCAGTCATACTAAAAAGTCCATGATTTAAGTGATATCTTCTATTTTCAAGCATTCTGACACTAGAATTACTTGCTGCAAATTAGTACCGGCATTCATTAGCATAACATTTAGGCCAACAGCACACCTAAAGAGCCTTATTCTAAGATCTCATCCACATATTTGTGACTCGTTTTATAACATCCATCAAAACTATGCAGTTCAGTACAGTAATTTTTGAAGATTCTATCCCAAATCATGAAATTACTTCCATGGAAACAAGATCTTAAGTAAGTTGTATCTTCCTCCTTATCCTCCCTCTCTCCTCATCTAGATCACAGTTCAGGTTACATCCCCATACACAACTAGATTCACAATTCAGATTATATCCGGACTTATCAATAAAAAACATTGCACAATTCCATTCCTCTTGGCTCCACTGAACATGATACCATTTTGGTAGATCAAATAACTAGATCATAAATCATTGGTTTTTCTTGTATAAAGTCCAACCTTGTGCAGCAACAGAATGGCTGATTAGTTTCTATTAAAACCTAAACCTTTAAAACCAACTTTCTTGTAGTTGCTTCACAGTTTCTTTGAGCCAACAATAAAAAATAGTCTTTGGATGCAGCTGTTGCTCTTAACCTCTTCTAAGCTGGCTGTCAGATAACAAATTCATTGCTTAAAGAGTGATTCCAAGTTACTGATATAATATTTTAAGGCAGCGATTCTCAACCAGTGGTGCACAAGAGAATGGGTGCAAAGAAACAAAGTATTTTTAACTATTAAATTCAAAAATTAAATACCCCAACATCCCGTTTAACAAGGTCAATAGCTGATCAAACACTTTAGCAAAATAATCCATTTTTATTTTCACAAATATTCTTTTAGCTATAGACATAACAAAATTTATCATAATGTTTTTAAATATATAATGGAGTAAAATGGATGTTATATTTAATAGAAAATAAGTCCCTATAAAAAGATAATACTATCATATTAATCTTTTTAGAGCTAATCAGCTTATTAACATATCTACGCTTTATGTCACCACCATTTCCAGGCTCATATTTCTTTATTTTAAAACAAAATAATTTTTTACGTTGATTTGCTGTCTCTAACAGCAGGTTACTCACTACTTCATTTATCATGAAGCTTTAATAACCAAAACAGTCTTGAAACAAGCTGTGAAAATTGTTAAGTTTATTAAAAGCCGAGCTCTAAATTCAGGAATATTTACCATTTTATGCCAAGATACGGGCAGTGAAAATGAAACCTTTTTGTTACATTCTGAAATAAGGTGGTTATACAGAGGCAAAGTTTTAAATTGTCTTTTTGATAAGAAATTCAAATTTTCCTCTGTGATTCAAAATTTGAAGTGCAAAAATGTTTATTTAGTGAATTATGGTTGGCACATTCAGCTCATATTTTTGGAAAGTTAAATGAATTAAATTTAGGATTACAAGGACACAATGTTAATCTGTTCACCGTTAGAGAAAATATAAATGCAATGATAAAAAGACTCAAGCTAATAATCAAAGAATTAGATAATAACATTTTAAGCTTTTTACCACTTTTAGAAAGTTTTCTAACCAAAAATAATTTGAAAATAAAAGAAGAATTAGCATCCGACATTAAAAATCATTGTTTTTCATTGATAAATAATTTCAGCATGTATTTTCCTGAGGATGATGAAAGAAAATCGGATTAGAAATGCATTTTTTCAAATGTACCTGAAATTTTATCTTGTGGAAAAAAAAGAATAATTGACAAAAATTTCCTGCGATTGAACTCTAACTGAAGATTTTAAAAATACCACATTTGTCAACATTGGCTGAATCAAATAAAAAGAACTTAAAGCCATTTCAAATAAGCTATTAAATTTTTATTGCCTTTTGCACAACAGAACCAAATTAAAAGTGGATCCTAATTTATGGTTCAAATTAAGTGAAATAAGACCACACATAAAGAAACTGATCTCTCTTTAACAGGCCCAAATTTAACACTAAGTTTTAGAATTAAGGTATTACAACTTAAATTTCGATAATTAAAATGGTAACCAATTGTTAATCTAATATTTTTTATGTGTGTGCATATTTAATACAAATAGCCAATAGGTTGTGCAAATGGCAAAATACTTTTTTTAATATTTGCATTGAGAAATTGAAAAATAATCATTGTAAAATGTAGTCGTGGTACTAAAGTTTTTCATTTTCTTTTTAAATGATATATATTAGTCAAAAGGTTGAGAACCGCTGTTTTAAGGGATATTCAGATCTTGAGCCACTTTTATTTCTGTTTGCCCCCTACAAGTCTATCAATTATACTGCCTCTTTTTTCCTTCACTAAATGATGCCTTTCAGTCATAACTAATGAATACTGATCACCCTTAGAAATCACATTCACTTTCAACAACATAAATGTGTGTTTGAACATGCATTCATTATGCAGTACATTGTCAGTCACCTAAATTGCATATTTCATGAGTAGACTATGTACAGAAGTTCAATTTTATGCTCAACTACAGCTAATTAACATATATAATTAAAACACTGGACAATGGTTAAAACTTTAATCAGTAAGATTATTAATAATATAATAATAATAATCAGTGCTTCAGATTTCCTTTTAATTTTGTTAAGCAGTGCATAAACTGATTTTCACTAATACAGTAATTAAGTTTCTAATGCAAGATATGAAGTTGTCTAACATACATTATTAATCTAACACATATATGTAAAAAAAAATTACATAAGAAAATTACAAAATCTGTTTAAATATTATTTATGTTGAATAACATTTTTCATTTTCTAATATAATTTTTCATTTTCTAATGTAATTTTTCTCCACTGACCTTTATTGGATGTAAGACGTCTAAAGCAGTAACACCAAGACTTCTCATCAAAACAATAGGTGTAAATTCAGTCTTGTACAACCTGTGCAAAGCATCTATTGCAAGCATTGTTGAAAGAATATGCCTTTGTCTTTTCATTTCATAATCCAGCAAGGAATCCAGATTTCCTAAAAAATACCGATTATTTATGTATATGAATGAAATATTAATATGAAAAAAGGTTACAATTACACAATTTCAACACACACAGAAGATAACATATACATAAATACTAGTTTGTAATAGCCTACTGGGACACATTTCAATTAAATTATTAATTAAGTGGCAAAAATTAGAACTACATATTTTATAAGAAGGTTACATGTTACATAACAATCTCTACAAACCTACACACTCTCCATTATAAACTGAAGTTTCAAGGCATTCAGTGAGGCATTCTACATCACCAAAACCTAAATTAACACCTTGACCAGCCAACGGATGCACTCGATGAGCAGAATCTCTGCAAATGCAAAAATGACATTAATTCTTTATTGGAAAATAAAGCAAAAAAAAAAAAAAAAAAAAAAAACTTGTTATATTTATATTACCTATGCATAAATCATCAAATTAAACAGATGAAAAAAATTAACATTAATATAAACTTAAAAAGGAATAACAAAAAAAGGATTTTTTATGAAAATTATACAAAGTATATTTAATTTAAAAGTAAACCTATTAGAGCACATTAAATGTACATATCTATGAGATTTAGCTTTCCTGTTTGAAATGGCATCTCTCAAGTTCTTATTATTTGCTAAATTTTTCACCATGTTCTTAGCAACCTTACACAGCTTTTCTTTTATCTATTCTCTGGATGGCAGCAGTTCATTTTCAAGTATTCCAAGACGTGTGTCTATTATTTATACATCCATTTTGTTTCAAGTAAGTGCCCCTCAAAAATGTTTCTTCAACTCCCAAGTGTTCTGTTGCACACCATCACTGTTGTTCTGAGGGGTGACAACAAAAGCTTAAAAGTCCATACAATAATTGACTCCACCTCCCAAAGGTCCCATCTATAAGAAAGCACTGCAAAAAAAAAAAAGGGGGGGGGTCGGCTGTATGCCGATGAGAAAGGAAAAACTGAAACCTTCTTTATTTGGAAGTTTGAGCACAATGTTTGCAAAGCTTACCTCTCTGATATCAGTGACAACTACCATTGTAATTTTGATGTTCTTAAGACTACAATTTGTCAAACTATGCGTTTGGTCACACAACAATGTGAAGATGATCTGTTTGATATGGAGATACATGTAGAAGATTGCCTTGGTGCCAAAGAACTTAATTATAACAAGTTTTATTATATTTATAATTATTATAACAAGTTTTATAGGTGCAGCTGTAGCTTGTAAGCTAAGGACAGGGAAATTGTGTAGACTTAAGTACGACCTTTCTGTCGTGGGAACAAGGTTCAACAGTTTTGGGTCGTGCCAAGGGATGTTAGGAGCAGACTGAAAACCTTGCAGTTAATTTGATGTTAGCAAATCTTTTTTTTTTGCAGAAAGGAATTAATGAAATGGATAAGGATCTCTCAGATTTCTGTGGTGGGAAAAGAGTAATCCTAACAAAGGGAAAATACATATGCAACGCCGAGATATAAATGTTGGGGAATTTGAAGTAATGATAATGAAGACTCTTTGAAAAATTTTGCTAATGAACAGTTTATAGAAGAACATAGCTGAGCAGCAGCAAGGGCCGAAAAGTATGCTCCATCTCCTCAATATGATTCTTCATCAAGATAAATCGGGAAAAATTCCTTTCATTAGTGACACAAAAATTAAAGAACCTCCTGATGAAGACAATGTTGATTCAGCATTTGAAAAGCACACAATCTCAGTTACCTTTACGTCTTGCTGAAACAAACAACTTGCTTGCAAAACTAGATTTGAAGACATTGGATGTAGGAAATGAGATTTCAGATCTTGATCAAGACAATGCAGACAAAGAAGTTAGTAATAAATCTGCAAAAGTTTTTGTTAAAATTGAAAACATCAGTGAAGTGAAAAAATCTGTAGCTCTCTAAAAAAAAAAAAACTGAAAGTCATGAAAGAGAAGCGACTAACAGAATAAACACTATGAAAAACAAAAGATGTCACTGATTCTGATCCAGAGGAGAATCAGCAGCTGCTTGGGTTATTAAAACGTCAGAAGTTGTAAGAAATGAAAAAAGATAATGAATATTACATGACTGAAGAAATTATGCAGTAAGACAAATGATTTCTTAGCCAGAAGCAACAGTTCTAGAAACAACAATTGAAATACCATCACTGGAAGAAGAGAAAATGCATCATTCAAATTATAGATGAAGTTTCAGACTTCAGAGTTCAGAATGCCAAGCTTGCTTCACAGCTTGAGTACTCTGAAGAGAGGGTGAAAACTTTGCAGTCCAACTTGGAAACTTATAAGAAAGAATATGCACCATGAAGGTGCTCAAAATTGCAATTTAAAACAGCAGAACTTTTACGGTTAGTGTTACAGTGAGAACATTTCAAAATGTTTTAATGGTAAGACCCACTTTTTTCCTGTGCAAATTGATCAGCACACTGAAATACCTTAAATGGTGTTAGAATGATATATGCGTGATGGAAATTGCGACCATAAAACATTTGCAAGGACCAATGCCAACACAAAAGAAAAGAGAGGGGGAACTTTAACTCATTATGGTTTTAAATTCCAACACCATTTATGGTTTTTTATGCACTCATCAATTTGCACAGAAAAAAAGCGAGTGTTGTCATTTGAAAATTTTAGAATTCTTTCACTGTAACTGTGAAGAGTTCTATTGTTTTCATTCATCACAATCTCAAATGCATACCTTTAACTAACAATATCTGAAACTTTATTTTGATTGGTTGAGCAGATAAGCAGCTAGGGATTCATACATTTGGTGAGTATTTTTATTGCCACCCTGCGTATATGTGTGTGTGTGTGTATATATATATATATATAGCAAATATAATATATATATATAAATATAATAATTATGTCCCTAGTCAAGAATACACTTAAAATTTCTAACTGTATGTTCTTTATTCTTAATGGGACGTCTCTTTATTGAAAGTACGTGGAATTAAATCACATCCCCGTATCCAGTTGTTTTTCAGCCTTTTCCCACGTACAGTATGAATGTTTTGGAAATATTTAAAGTGAACTGGAATGGACTGACGTCATTTCTTGGAAGCTCTGCCCCCTTCCAGAGGCTATAAAAGGACTCGCAAAGGAATATCGGTCGTTTCTTTTAGTGTACAATTCAGTAAACTTCATACAAAAAGTTATTAGAAGTTTTTTTTTTTTATTTTACTCCGGATTCTGATTTGTAAACTGCGATTTCTCGCTGTCCAATAAATGGATCCTGTTTTTTAAACTTATCGTCTGATGATTTAAGCTACGAATACATCTATGATTCTTCACCAATTTACTTATTCCGGACAAAACTGGTCATCACATTATACACATATATATATATATATAAACTATATACCATCTTTTCCGAAAATAAGACCTGTCTTACTTTCTTTTTTGGTCCAAATACGTGTTAGGGCTTATTTTTCAGGGGAGGGCAAAAGTAAAAGTATATTTATATACTTTTATTTAATATTTATTTTACACAGAATACAGAAATTTAAATTTTAATTCAATTACAGTCATGTCATTCTTCTGGAAACATTGTCATAAATAAATTCTGAATTATATTCTGATTTTCTTCTAAATCCAATTTTGCTGTTGAATCATTGGTTCCGAATCTCTCATATCTTGCCATATAGCTTTTTCATTAAATGAATACTCTTGTCTATGTAAGCCTGTTCGTAGTGCATTGGGAAAATCACTATCAGTTATTTTTGGCCCCGAATTTTTCCCCCTTCAAACTCTTGTGAGCCTGGTTTTTACAAACCTCGATGATTTCTCACCATTTCTGTTTTCACAATATATTCATTGATTTCCATCCACAAATGATCCTTGAATGGCTTGTTTATTGCAATGTCAAGTGTCTGGTGGTAACTAGTCATTCCTTCCGGAATCATTATTTGATCAATCTTCCTCTCAGCAAGAAAGTTTTTCATGTCTTTAGCGCGGTGAGTACTGGCTGAATCCCAAACTAGTAAACCTCTATTCTGACCCCTCAACAGTGGTGGCAGCTATTCCTTTGGTTATACTGTATAATTAAAATTTTAACTATTTATAGAAAGAACATTCCAGTTACAAATTTTTAGAGAGTATATATAGCATACAGCATCGAAGAACTATTGCTCTATGTCACAAACTCTTAAATTCATATTTCTTGCCTATGAATGACAATACTGTGTATGAGCAAAGGATGTGCCAAATTTTCTTTCACAGCAGAAAGCAAGTAATTCCAATCTTTCATAATAACAGCTAACTCATAAGTAATATGCATCATCTCAGCTTATTGTGAATGTATATCATATGACACATTTTACTTGGTAGTTGTGGTAAAGAAAAGGAGAAGTTACGATGACTTAAATTTAGATGGATGTGATATTGTTACAAAATGTGCAGGCACGGTAAGATGGGTTCCCCACAAAGCAGTTTTAGGGTTGCCATTAAATGGCAAAGGAAGGCAGGATTGTTACATTTGTCGAGAAATCGCCCTTTTGGCGACCTTTGGCACCAAAGTTGGCGATATGCCATGGACTAATGGAGAACCTTCTGGAACGAATTCTTATTGGTTTAACCCAGAATGTTCTCGAGCACAAGGCGAAAGCTATATAAACCCTGCTGGTACACAGTCAGTTAGTGTGTGTGCCTCGTCGAGAGGGTTAGTATCGAGTTGGTGTCTCGTCTAGCGCGTCAATCCCTACGGAGTCGATTGAGTTGATAGCCAGGCAGCGAGTGCCGAGTGGGGCGTCAAATGCAGAGAAAGAGTCTCATAGTGTATGGTGGTTAGTGCATCGTCGAGAGAGTGTGTTGAGCTCCAGGAATGACTGAACTGAAGAGTTGGGAGCAGAGTCGAGAGCTGTACTCTAGTGCTTCGCAGTGAAGCTGCCTCCACCGTGATAGCCTGATAACCTGGAAGCTGTGTCATTGATCGTGTCAGCGTGCTTATAGTCGTTTCATCGACGACTGTAAAACGTTTTTGGAGCTTCCAATTATACTCTGGCTAAATAAAGTGGTGTTTTCATACTTCTCAAGTGTCATCATATTATCCAAATCCACACAAACCCTGTACGAACATGAAGAAAGAAAAAAAACATAAGAACCGGTGACAGAAGAAGTGAAAAACACAACAATTGGAGTCAGGAGTGGGGTTTGCGAGTGAATGTCAGTGGCCCACCTGCAGAGGAAACCATGGCAGAAGAAACGAAGACATTGATGGACTTTTTAGCCGAGTTGAAAGCCGGACAGGAGGAGATAAAATCTAAGATCAAAGCCGCACTGAAAGAGTTGGAAGCGGGACTGGAAGATAAGAAAGCAGAGGGAGAAGAATAAATGTCGGCCGAGGAG